CTTAGGTCCATTTGCTTGATAAGCCTTTTCCCAGCCCTTTACTCTGAGTAGGTGCCTGTCTTTGTGGTTGAGGTGTGTTTCTTGTAGACAGCAGAATGTTGGATCCTGTTTTCTTATCCAATCTCTTAGCCTGTGCCTTTTTATAGGTGAGTTGAGCCCATTGATATTAAGTGATATTAATGACCAGTGGTTGTTAACTCCGGTCACTTTTTAAGTAGTAGGGTTTGTGTGTTTTCCTTCTTTGATTTGCGCTGGTGAAGAGTCTCTAGATGTCTGAGTTATTGTGGTCATTGTTGGACTCCTTGGTTTGTGATTTTCCTTCTATTATTTTCTGTAAGGCTGGATTTGTGGCTACGTATTGTTTAAATTTGTTTTTATCCTGGAAAATTTTGTTTTCTCCATTTATAGTGAATGAAAGTTTGGCTGGATATAGTAGTCTGGGCTTGGATCCGTGGTCTCTTAGTTTTTGGAGAACATCTATCCAGGACCTTCTGGCTTTCATGGTTTCCATAGAGAAGTCAGGTGTAAGTCTGATAGGTTTACCTTTATAAGTAACTTGGCCTTTTTCCTTTGCGGCTCTTAATATTCTTTCTTTATTCTGTATATTTTGTGTTTTGATTATTATATGGCGAGGGGATGTTTTCTTTTGATCCAGCCTATTTGGTGTTCTGTATGCTTCTTGAACCTTCATAGGTACATCTGTCTTCAGGTTGGGAAAGTTTTCTTCTATAATTTTATTAAGTATATTTTCTGTACCGTTGAGCTGCACTTCTTCTCCTTCTTCTACTCCAATTATTCTTAGGTTTGGTCTTTTTATTGTGTCCCATATTTCCTGAATGTTTTGTGATGAGAGTTTGTTGGACTTGCTGTTTTCTTTGATCAGAGTGTTTATTTTCTCTATGTTATCCTCAGAATCTGAGATTCTTTCTTCTATCTCTTGTATTCTGCTGGTTATACTTGATTCTGTAGTCTCTATTCATTTACCTAGATTTTCCATGTCCAGTCGGCCCTCTGTTTGTGTTTTCTTCTTTGCCTCCATTTCAGTTTTCAAGTCATGAACTGTTTCCTTTATCTGCTTGATTGTTTTTCCTTGGTTTCCTAGGGTATCATTCACTGATTTACTCAATTCCTCGAACTTTCTATTATACTTCTCATCCATTTCTAGGGCGTTTTTTATATGCTGTTTAAGGGTGTCAATCACTTTCATGAAGTCAGTTTTTTCTACTTCTTCTTGATTAAGGTGTTCATGTCCCCCTTTGTGGGGTCACTGGCTTCTGGTGGTTTCGTGTTGTTTTTCAGATTGTTGGGAGAATTCCTGCATTGGCGTCTGCCCATCTCTTCCTCCCAATACTCCCCTTTGGATCTTCTTTTATAGGATCAGGTCTTCTTGCCCACTGATGTACCTTCCCAGTGATGTCACTCCCCAGAGATGTTTCTCCACAATGATGTTTCACTCGGTGCCCAGATCGAAACTCCGCGCTGCTTGGTTAGCTCGCGAACAAAGGGCCCACCCCGCTCGCTGCGGGCAGGCTATGGGAACAAAGGAGCTACCGGCCACCCCTATGTCCTCCCGGTTCAGATTCGGTCCCAGCGTCCTAGCAGGCTGGGCAGGGAGGCGCTATGCCCCAAAGGAGGGAGGGAGACAGGGGGTGTGGGGATCTGGATGTAAGCTGAGTGGGATAGGAAGAGAGAGGCGGTTTGGGCAGTATAGCCCCTGTAGGATGGCCAGGAAGTGTGGGCGGGCTGAGGTATGATCCCAGCTGCCACAGCACTCACTCACCACAATGATGTTTCACTCGGTGCCCAGATCGAAACTCTGCGCTGCTTGGTTAGCTCGCGATAAATATTTTGACTAACAGCTCAGGCATATTCCTAGCTAGCACATCTTTTAATATTTATTTATTTATTGTTTATACAGTATTCTGTCTGCTTGTATGCCTGCAGGCCAGAAGAGGACACCAGACCTCATTACAGATGGTTGTGAGCCACCATGTGGTTGCTGGGAATTGAACTCAGGACCTTTGGAAGAGCAGGCAATGCTCTTAACCGCTGAGCCATCTCTCCAGCCCTAGCTAGCACATCTTAAGTTAATCCATTCTATTATTTTATATTTTACCATGAGGCCCATGGTTTGTTACCTTGCATTTTGCTTCTTGGGTGGCTACAAGGCATTTGCCTGACTCTGCCTTCTTTCTCCCTGCATTCAGTTTAGTTTTCCTGCCTAGCTATATTCTGACCTGCCATAGTTCAAAACAACTTCTTTTTTAACCAATGATAATAAAACATATTCACAGCATAAAAAGGGGAATCCCACATCACACATCTTTGAAGGAGTTCACTATGTCCCTGTCCTTTTGGGGTTGTGAGTCTAGTGGGATAGGGGACATTGCTGGATGTGTTATTCACATGACAATGTGTTGAACACTACAGTGGAAGAAGAGGTGTCAGAGCCCCACAGGACATCCCTGAGTTCCAGGAGCATGTGTTGCTCATGGAGACCATGCTCTACAAGGCAGAGTGTCACAGTACTGTCTGTAGCAGTTGACTCTGGGACTTTTGTGTCCTGGGAAAACAGAGGGCCACCTCCAGTACTTAACTGTAGGTCTTCCTTGATAAATAGACTCTCAAGTTTAGGCTGGAAACTAAGCAGAAAAATCACCTGGGTAACCATCATTGCTCTGGTGTGGGTAGCAGGGTTTCTCCATCTTAACCTGGGGCTGTGTATGCATCAGCCTCAGTTGTCTGCATCTCTGTGGCTGGTCCTCAGAGGCTCTGTAATTTGAGCAAATAAAGTGGAGACTGGAATTGTCTGTCAACTTTTAATGAGTCCCCAGGTGCCACTAAAAATCCCCCTGCTGGGAGCCCTGGCAAAACTTGGAATTGGTTTCCTGGGGACTGTTATTGTAAGGAAGTTTGGTAGTCTGTAAGAAGATGCCCCATCTGACTATTTAAAGCCAGTGAAAACAATTGAACTTTGTTCTAATGTGTCCTCCAGGGCAGAAGCCCAGGGGCTTTGCCTGATGGGCACGGAAAGTTTCTAAGCAAGGTTAGAGATGGCAGGTTCTTACAGAGCACTGTAACTCTTGGCACGTGGATGCCAGGGCATCACCGCAGCTGGAGTCTCCTGGGGCTTTTGTGTTTAAACTGTGACCCAGCTGAGAAGTATTTCTGTTCATGCTTTTCTTTCATTGTGTGGTGTTAGGGGTGGAACTCTTTGGCAAACACTTTAGTATCAAGACACACCCTGAGTTATATTCAACTACTTAAACATGGATCAATTTTCATGGACTGGCCTCAACAAACATATCTCTTGCCAGGGTAGGGGTATGAGGTTTTAGAAATATTAGTAAAGATAAGGAAAATGTGGTACATTTACACAATGGAGTACTATACAGCAGAAAAAAATAACGACATCTTGAATTTTGCAGGAAAATGGATGGAGCTAGAAAGCATTATTTTGAATGAGGTAACCCAGACACAGAAAGACAATTATCACATGTACTCACTCATAGGTAGTTTTTAAACATAAAGCAAAGAAATACAGCCTACAAACCATAATCCCAGAGAACTTAGACAACAGTGCAGACCCTAAGAGAGACTTACATAGATCTAATCTATATGGGAAGTAGAAAGTAGAAAAAGACAAGATCTCCTAAGTAAATTGGGAGCATGGGGACCTTGGGGGAAGATTAAATGGGGAAAGGGAGAGGCAAGGAGGGGAGCAGAGAAAAATGTAGAGCTCATTAAATATCAATAAAAATGTATTTAAAAATAAAAAAAATTAGTAAAGAATATTAAGACACGTGTGAAAATAATAAGACAGAAACCAAAGAAAGTACTGGGAGGGCGTTCCAGTGAATCCTGAAATCATCTGCGTTTATTTTTCCATAGCTTTTATACCCAATATAAACAGGGAGTGGGAAGGATGTAACAAAAGACTTTATTAACATGATACAAAGGACAACTCAAACAGTCAATCGCTTTAACACTTTGAGACATCAAATCATTACCATTCTATTGTTTAGGCATTGAAGCTGCTTTAGACAATGTATCCTGAAGGCAACCACTCCCCAGGTGACCTCATCGTTTCAAAAGAAGGAGCAGAAGTGTACTCTCATATCCTGACCACCTGTCAAGATGGCAAGGACTACCTGGAAGAGCTATCTTAATGTCAAAGGAATCAAGTAATTACATCCTGAGTTGGAGTGTGCGACTACACTTGTCAACCACTTAGAGCAACCTCCACCTCTCTGACCATCGGACAAGGTGGGAATAGCCAGGCATTACTACAATAATCAGATTAGGGATCAAGAACAACTGTGATCCCTATACTAAATTTTGCAGTAGACAGCATGCAAGAACAGAGAGGAATGGGGGGGGGGGTCGTTTTCTCCAATAGTGTAGTCAATGATTACTTACCCATGCTCTAATAAATAAATGAATTCATATCCATGTTCACTAAAGCAATCCCAATAAAGCTCAATGAATCATTAAAGGAAATCAATACCAAAAACAGACATGGCATTGCCACTGTGAGGATCCCAAGTGAGGCTCTGCCTACTGTCCTTTGAGTTATTGAAGGTGTTCTAGGAAAAAAATATATCATACCCTCTGCTGAAATGTCTATATCTTAGAAATGTCTGTGCTTTCTGTCCTCTCCAGCTGCTGTGAGTAGTAAGGAAAATGTGAGCAGAAGAAGATCAAAAGAAAGGCAATAACAAGTACCTCAGGAGAGCTGCAGTACTGAAGTGAGGTTATTAATCTGTGGTATGAAAAGACAGTGTAATAAGAGGACAAACCTCCCCCAAATGCAACGCCTACACTACAATTCTTCAATTAAGGACGTGAGCATTCGGAAGACCAATAAATCAGCCTGCCTTCATCTTATGGTACTGGTACACACACACACACACACACACACACACACACACACACCACAGACAGACACAAAAGAAAAGAAAAAGGAAAAGGAAAAGAAAAGAAAACCCTACAACAAATGCTTGACTTGTTAGGTTTAATAAACCGAGAAATGTAGTTTTCACACACTGCAGAATCCCAGAACGAGAGAAGTTTGGGGAGTAGAATGGAGGTCAAGGCGATGGGAATGTACCTCAGTTTAAAAGGTTTTCTGAGCTCGAGACTGGCCTCCATCCTGCCCAGACACTTCCCCTTAGCTGTCTATTGTTCAAGAGAGTAAGTCCTGCTAGGCTGGAGGACAATGCGGGGCCTGTGAACAGCCAGAGGAAGTCAGTGGTCTTGACCCAAAGACTTCTCAGCCCCATCCCTCCCCCAGACCCCAACTGTTGCTTCCCTGTTGTCCTCCAGCGCCTCCTGCTGGTATTCGGCGAGCCTCCAGCACAGGCGACTGCTCTTTTTATTTTGGGATCTATAGAGGTAGGTGGATGGGTGGGATGATCCATCCAAGCTTAGTGGTCACTGTGGGCTCAATGGCTCCATCCGCAACCATAGCCCGCCTTCCGCGCGCAGGATCAGCTCCGGCTGCCTGCGCGGCTCCTGGTCGTCGGGCAGGACGCGGAAGCGCAGCAGTGTGAGCGCCAGTGCCACCTTCATCTCGTTCATGGCGAAAGTCTGTCCTATGCAGTTCCTGCGGCAGGGCGAGGTGGGAACTTTGTATCCTGATCTCATTCAGGACCCAGCTATCACTGAAACCTGACCTAGGTACCTAGTCAGCCAGCTGGAGAAGCACCCAAGGGGAACTAACATATTCGGGATTTCTCGTCTACACCTACATTCTGTATCCCGTGAACCTCAGTCAGACTCAGAGGCCAACTGAAACTATCAGCTGGGTGGCGTGTGAGCACAGGGCTGTGGTTCTTGGACCTTCCCAACCCTGACACTGCACATCTTTCCTTAACCTGCTACGATGCAGGGACGAGGCCTAGATCCTGACTGTCCCAAATTCCCATCTTCTCCATCTTTACTAAACCTTTGCCACATCACCTCAAGCCCTCTGGCCTCACATGGGCCCAGCGGAGAAGGGAATAAAAGCCAGAGGTGACCTGTCCTTGATGTTCTCTGGATCAAAGCGGAAGGGGTCATAGACCTGAAAGAGACAATGAATGGCATCTTCAAGCACAGAGTCCTGAGTGTGGTAGGGAAGGGAAGTTCTGATTTCCCCAGCTAAAACCTGCTCCTTCTGCTGGTATCATTGTGGAGAAAAAGAATGGGGAAGAGCGGTTGCAGCACCTCAGGGTCAGGCCACACAGTTGGGTTGTGGTGGGTCCCGAAAATACTGATCATGCAGACGACACCTGTGGTGAAGTGGTGCCATGGGGTTAGCCAGCTGCTGGATAAACTTTACTGTGTGCCCAGGTCCCTCCTTCCCTGTCCCGTGGGCACCTTTAGGGATGACCCGGCCATCTGGGAGACCAACGTCCTGGGTGCAGCGACGGGCGATGACTGTAACCGGAGGATGCAGGCGCAGACTCTCCTTGATGCACATGGTCAGGAAGGGCAGCTGGTTCAGGTCGTCCCTGAGGAAACCAACACACAATTACCAGGACTGAAACAGAGACCATCAGGTCCTGTGTTTCCCACATAACCTTTCCCCACAGTCTTAAACTATCCCCATGAAAAGAAGAGACTTAGAAAAGTAGTGGATAGAATTTAGCCAGGTATCTTTAGAAACTTTTTCTGGAGTAAACAAGTACAAATGTCTACCATAAAAAAGGAACTCAAAAATGCCTTTTAAAAAGAAATTTTCCTTTGGTAAGGCCAAAATCAAAGAACTAAGAGACAACACAGATATCATGTTTGCCTTTTTTTTTTTCTTAGCTGTCCTGGAAGTCAATCTGTAGACCAGGCTGGCCTCAAAGTCACAGATCCACCTGCCTCTGCCTCCAGAGTGCTGGGACTGAAGGCGGCGCCACCACTGCTTGGCGGTGCTTGCTCTTTATCTCCTTTCTCTCTCTGCTCTGCTGCCTCTGTTTGAGTCTCTCCCGCCCCGCTCACATCCTTGTATCCACACTGTCTTCTTTTTTCTCTGTTCCACCCTGCTCCTTCACAGGCAAGCTCTCCGTCCTCTCTCTTTTCATTTCTTCCCTTTCTCCTCCCTCCGTCCTTTCATTCTCCAACTTCTTTTTCCCGTTCCCCCTCTTCCCTATCCCCACCTCACTTCCTTCTTTCTCTTACACTCTCCCTATGCTTTTCTCACAACCCTATCTTTGCTATTTCTCCTTTTTTTCTATTCCCCTTCTCTTTCCAATCCCCCTCCCCCTCGTTGTGTAACAAATTTGTCCAAACTAAGACATTCCACCCCAGGGGGAGCTCCAAAAGACTCAGGTCGTACACAAAACTTCTCAGGCTCAAGGTATGAACAACTCACAAGTCTTAGGAAATTCCTGAAACCTAAACGATTCTCAAGGTTAAGTAAAAAGTAATAACTGCTGGACAGAGAGCTCCGGGGATGCAGCTTTTTTGAGTCCTCATCCACATTAGGGTGGGGTTTTCAGCTGAAAATAACCCCTCACTCAAGCTGATGTGAGACATTCTAATAAACTCCTTGTTTTACTAAATTGGTTTTTCATAGAATCATTTCTTTGGTCTGTTGTCCAGGAGACAAATAGACTTTTGCTCACATCTTCCCAAGAAAAGTCACAAAGCACCACTCCTCTTGTCTCTACCCTTTCCCACCACCTCTGCTTCTCTTCACTGTACCCGAGTCCCAACTGGCTATCTCCTCTTGCCCACTAGGGGTTCTAGATGGAAACAGATCCTTTAACCCAGCCTTGCTTCTCTTACTCCAAAACTCACAGCTGCCCGTGTGTCCCGGGAGTGCCCTGACGCAGGACTATCCTCCAGCCAGGCTTAGAGCTCCTGACAGCATTTCCTTCAGCTGCGTCCTGAGCACAGGATAGCTGCTCATAAAGTTGCCATGAGAAGGCATTATGGGAGGATTTGCTGAGTGGAAGCGTGAATGATGCAACAGATTCCACAGCGCACTGACAATGACTTTTGCCATGTGTCCCTTATGAATTCCTATTCTTGCAGGAAATAGGGAACAGAAGAGCAGACAGACAGAGAGGTAAGACAATGAAGCATGTTATATGAGATGGGGAAAGAGGAGGGAGAGTTTACATGCATTGATTTTCTGATAAGTGACATCATCTGCCCTTACACACTACTATATTGTCAGTAATTCTCTTAGAAGTTAAAATCCTTCTGTCTCAAAGCACAAAACTTCTTCTTTTTAGTGAGGTGGATACTGTTCTCACCATTAAATAATGGAAGAATCAGCAAAAGAGACCCTCTGCTTCCCGAGGAGTGGAGCCAGGAGAAGGACGCATTAATATATTAATATGCTCACCACTCAATCTCTGTAGACTCACGGTTCTTCAGCAGCTCCCGCACCTCCTGTCGGCAGCGCTCCTGGTATTCCGGGTGCCTCGCCAGGTTGTACAGGATCCAGGAGAGCCCACTGGCTGTGGTGTCATGACCTGAGGGGCAGATAGGTGGGCTTGGGTCTCAGAGTCACTTCAACACCACAAAGTGGGCAGCACCAGGTAGGAGGGGGCCCAGGAAGGATAAGAAAAAGGGAAGACAGATGATTGTGGGATTTTAGGGTCCATTCAATGTTCCTGAAATGAAGACTACTGCTCCCTCTATAGTCCTACACTGGGACCCTCACCCTCAAACATGAAGGTGTCAGCCTCTGCTCTGATGTCCTCATCTGACAGCTGCTTTCCATCTTCATCCTGGAGACAATGCCAGACTCCAGATCACAGCAGATCACAGCAGTTCTGAATCTACGTCTAACCCGAGACAGCTCTTGAAGATCCATATACCAAGCCCACTGTACCTCTGTACCTCTCTTGATCATCATCACAGTTCCTCACACCCCAGGGACAGTTCTTGACTGTGCTCTTTCTTGTTTGTTTTTGAAATTGGTTACTACTGGCTAGATCACAATTTCTCTATGTAACCTTGCATATAGGATGATTGCACGACAGCATTCCTTTGAAACTGGAGAAAAAACATTACCCTCAAGACACTGCATCTTCTCCTAGGAGGGGAGTAGAACTCTCTCTGTCAATCCTTCCATAATTGTTTGATAGGAATAGAGTCTCCCTTGTCAGCAAGGGCAATGTTACCCCTTTCAACAGAAAGGGTTGACCTGACAGGATAAACAGTGACAACATGACAATGTGTGGATACAGATGATGCCTCCTTACATATGACCACTAGCTGGACTTCTCCTCTTTTTCTTTTCACTTTCAAATATTTTTCATATGTTTTCTTCCCCTGGCCACTTTTATCCTGCATTCAATTCCTACTGTACTTGCTTGTTTCATTCTTGGGTGTTACACGCAGAAAATTTATCTTATCTCCTCTGGAGGTTCTTAGGATTACATACCTGTAGAATTTACCTGTGATTGGAGAAAACTTGCTTACATTACAGAATAAAGTCCTCCCTCAAAGTGCAAAATTACATGTTCATGAAAATGCTGTAATGAAACGAGTTAGTTTGTACACTCAAAAATTAATTTAAAATGTCCCCTCATGCTTATTTGTCTCATATTCTCTTACCCTCTCAACATTAATTCTTCCCTACACACCCCCTCCTCTTCTTCTCTCCATGTCATTCTCCCCTTTCACCTCTCTCCTTTTGCATCTGTTCATATTCCCTGAAACAAAGAAGGCACAGATGTGCCAACTCTGCTGTGAAACTTGCAAGATTTGTAATGTATGGGCTTTCCTCCTGGGGTGTAAAATCTTCTGGACACACCTGATGTAAAATCATGACATCACCTGAGAAGGGAGGAGCTGCAGATAGGAAGCCATTCTTACAATCCTAATCTGGCTGCTGGTATTATTGAGGATAACAGATGGGCTGCCCTGGCCATGTAGGTGCACAGTTCTAGGCATACATACAGACTTGAATATGATTTCACAACCACACATTAAGTTACAAAGAGAGTGAAGTCTTACGTCCTTCAGTTTCAGATCTGGCAGGCATATGCTGACCGGATACTGATTTTATCTCTATAATATCTCTTTCTAGATTGCCCCTATTTTCCTCACATGCCTTCCATGGCCGCTAGGTATCTCTACATCAAGCTTCAAATCTGAAATGTCTTTTTATTCCAATCCCATATTTGACTCCATCATTCATCCTACCACTTAAAGCCAGGATGTAACAAATGCATGTAGCCCCATGACTTGGAAAGTTGGGATAGGAGGATCCATTCACTAGCAACACAGTGAGACTGACCTCTAAAAATGCTAACTAGATCTAAGTGATGTGGCACACATCTGTGATTCCAGAAAGTGCAAGGTGAGGGAGGGAAGAACATGAGATTGAGGTTAGTCAGGGCTGTTTAGTGAGACTCTATCTAAAACTTACGCCCACAAACAAAAAGATAGCTATTTAATGATTTAACAATTTAATAATTATTTTGAGATAGGGTTTCACCATGTAGACTTAGCTGGCCTTGGAATTCAATATATAGACCAGGCTGGCCTCAAACTCTTCCTGCCACTACCTCTGGAGTGCTGGAATTAAAGATGTGCACCATCATGTTCAATGAATTAAGTTTAAACAACTCCATTTCACCTCTTGAGAACCCACCTTGGCCAGCAGCAGCACATCAATGAAATCCAAAGTCTTGGACTTGGCCTTGGCCTTGAGGACATCATCACTATCCTTACTGGGAAGAGTGCGTCGCCTATCCTGGATGACAGCGTCTGTGAAGTCGTGCACCAGGCGGCAGGCCTTACGGAAGCGCATCCCATTAGGGGTGAGCTGATAAAGTGAGTCTACGTGCAGAAGCAACTGCTGGTACCGTTTGGACACTAAAGCACTGAGTTCCAAGATGGCAGAAATATATTCACTGGACTTTCTGTATGAGTAGAGCATGAAGAGAAGAAACACAACTCAACCCAACTGGAGCCGCCCAAGAAGCATCTCTCAACTACAAATGCGAATTACTTGCCAACAAGATATTCAGTCATCAGAAACAGGTGGCCACACAAATACATGCCTGCCATTAGTCATAAGATTTGACTATAAAGTCTCTTATCTCTCTGCATCCCATCCTCATGAGCTTCCATGTCTCAAGGCATCTAGAGTGCAGCACAGACATCATGCCTCTCATTTCTCTCTGACCCTAGATCTAGTTCTGACCAACCTGCTTCCCAGTACTTTCCACTAGTTAAGACCTTATTTTCTTCCAGTCTCCTACAGGGCTTCTGCTTTCAGTGACAATTTCACTTTGTTTCTACAAGACAGTCAGTGTCTACAAAACTCTGATATGATCATGTCCATTTACTGTGGTTCGGGGCTGTTTCACAAATGGCCATCTCTGTGGCTGTTAGAAAATGGCAGAACCATTAAGAAATAGGACTTAATAGAAGCTGGCTAGGCCATTATAATTGTGCCTTGGAAGGACCTGATCTTTCTCTCTCTCTCTCTCTCTCTCTCTCTCTCTCTCTCTCTCTCTCTACTTCCCAACTGCCATGAAACAAACACTTTTTCTAACATATGCTCCCACCAAAACAACAGAGGCCAGGTGGTGGTGGCACACACCTTTAATCCCAGCACTTGGGAGGCAGAGGCAGGTCTCTGTGAGTTCAAGGTCAGCTTGGTCTGCAAAGCAAGTTTCAGGATTGTTACACAGAGAAACCCTGACTCAAAAAAACAAAATGAAAAAAAAAAAGAAACATCAACAAAAGTCTATGAAACTACGAGTCAAAAATAAGTCCATCTTCTCATTAAGTCAATACCCTCAGAAATGTTGTCACCATAACAGAAGTGACTACAAATACAAATACCCTTGGTAGAAAGTATAGGAGAAAGTTTCCACCTTTGTCTGGCTTTTGTATCCTTATAGTTTAGCTCCTATATTGGTGTATACTGATTGTTGACTTGAAAAGATCTAAAATTACCTTGTAGACAAATTTCTGAGCACACCTGGATTCTCTAGATTGGCTTAATTGAGGTGGGAATACTCGTCTTAATAAGGGCAGCACTGTGTCATGGCTGGGCTTTCAGAAGACACCAAAAGGAGAAAGCTAGTTAGTGTAACCATTCACTGCCCTCTGCTTCCTAACTGTGGATGCCATGTGACTATCACCCCCACACTCCTACCCCAGTAAGTTCCCTACAGTGATGGACTTCCCCTCAACTTCAACCCAAAACAAAGCCTTCCTTCTTTAATTTTTGTTGTATAAACAAGAAACACAAGTAATGTGCACATTGGTACCAGAAGTGGGGTCATAACTATAAAAACCCTGAACATGTGATTCTTAGGACTTTGAAACTTGTTCTGTAGAAGGAATGTAGAAGAATTTGAAATGCTGAGCCAGAAAAGCCCTTAAATTCTGTAAGGGGAACTTAAAGGAAAATTCTGATAGGAGTTTGGTAGATCAGAATGTGAAAAAAAATACAGACAATGGAGACCTAGATCATGTGGGGTTTTCATGAAGGGGGAGACTCTGTGGAAGCTAGAATAGATTCCATTCTTGCTACTTTTCTGGCAACAAATTTGGCTTCTTTCTACCCATGTCCTAAGAACTTGTGTAGGTGACAAAAGGTGTTAGACCTTTAGAGTGAGGACAATTTCAAGATAGCATAGCATTCAGGATATGGAACGGCTTCTCTCCGCCCGTTTTCATACATACAATGGGGAGCAGGTTTCAGACCACACAGAAAGGAGAAAACTGGTTGAGCACAAGCTTTGCTTCCTGACTGCAGACACAGTGTAGCCAGCCTGTTGCCCTGCTTTCCTTGCCGTGATGGAGCTTCCCTCAAAGTGACCTGAAATAAACTCTTCCTTAAATTGCTTCTATCAGCTATTTTGTTGCAGCTTTGAGGAAAATATCTAATCCAGTGTCAACCTACCAATCTCATGTCTAAGGTGCCTCCTCCATGCCAGGTTTACATGATCTACTACCCATCTGCATCCCTGAATCTTGTTCTAAATCATGTCTTCCAGGGAGTCCCCTCTTTTCCTACTGCTAGCCATAGCTCTCACACCTCCTCCCTTAGGTCTATGTTCTCAGGCGAATGGGAGAACTCACTCTTGGCAGTTGCTATCAAAGCTGAAGACACATTTCTGCAGACTGTCCAAGGTCATGAGGCTGATGTTCTCAAACATATCCAGACGGGCACTGCCACCTGAGGCCAGGCGCTTCCACTTGGCCTTTACAGAAAAGAAACAGTATCATAATCGGGGTTCAGCTCCTTGAGACTCTCCCAACCACAGCCACAGGAATGGATACCCCAAATCAGACTCCCAGGTTTCTGCTCCAGACATTGACCCCAGGGATAACCAGGCTTTGGAGAGGAAGACCCAAGCCTGAGGATCAGGAGGTGTGAATTTAAGCCTCATCTCTGATGCCCATGCTCTGTGCACCCTCAGTCAGCTCATTGCCCTCTGGTTCACATGCTATGTCTTCAGCAAGAAGTTGATCTGACTGTGTCTGATAAACCACGATGGAGCCCACGAGCCACTATTTATAGATCATTTACTATCTGGGCATAGTGGGACAAGTTCCTTTATCCTTCCAAACCTCAGGTTCACCCTAATGAGGAAAATGCAGCCTCTTACAGGTTTGATAAAAATTTAATTTGTGGCATAAATTATGGAATTAGATCATGACCATCAGCTCCAGAAGTGCTATAAATGCAATAAATGGTATTATTCCTTATTTTGAGTATAATAAGTCGGGCTCAAAGCTATCTCTATGTTAAGTATGGCAGACTTCCATTGTTTTCTAAGTATCCTTACTAAGTATTCCTAACATAAACCATCCCAATATTATTTTTCCTTTTTGACTTTTCAAGACAGGGTTTCTCTGTGTAGCCCTGGCTGTCCTGGAACTCACTGCTTAGAGCATGCTGGCCTCAAATTCACAGAGCTCTGCCTGTCTCTGTCTCCCACATGCTGGGATTAAAGGCATGTGTCACCACTCCCAGGTTCATTCCAATGTTCTTAACGTGGACTATTTCATATATACTTGCAGAAACCCTTGAGCGATCCAGTGATATTCTTTATGGGCAAATATCAGGCTTGCTTCAACTTGGCATGTAGGTCATGGGTTGCATGTGTTGAAGCCCACCTGTGATGCCCCTATGGCATTTAGATGCTTTCAAGAAAGAACAGATGCTAGGAAGATGCACAATGAGTAACTGGCTATCTTTTGTATTTAAACAAGGAATCTTGTGTGGCCAACAAGATGAACAACCAGCAAGCAAGTAGAAAAGAAAACTGTTGGCTCTTTATTTGACACTCGCCCCTGTGCCTATTTTGTTCCTCAACCCAGTGTAATGTGAGTTTTCAGCAATGTCCATTACAAAGTTGAGCCTATTCTATCACCCTTTGCTTTTGCGTTAGATTTATGACTTTAACTACTATAATCTAGGAGAAGCAAAGGAGCTATCACTTTAATGTAATCCAAGCTTCAAGTGACTTCCAGCTTCTCTTCTGTGGAAATGTGTGTCATAGAAGCAAGCCCAGCATATTTCTGGAGAGAGAGAACCTTAGAGACCAGAGTCCAGTCTGTCCTGATGAGACCACGCTAAGTTATCTTGAAGATGGTCAAGTCCCCAAATCAGAGAGTTATGCTGGTATCAGACAAGCTGCGCCACAGCTCATCATATGCCACAAATGACCTAAACCCTGTCCAGAAGAACCAATCCCCTGAACTACATCTCTATTGGCAATATCAGACCTCATTGCTTGCAAACTGGTGTGTGTGTGGTAGTGCCTTGCTCCTTATTGGCAGTTTCTATATAGTTCTCATAAAATCATATTTAGTTTTCAGGGCAACCATCTGATAAAAATAGAAACTAACTCTGTAAGCACTCACCATGTGGGAAGATACGGCTCTATAATATCATCTTGGACACAACATGGAGAGACAAATACAATAAAACATGGCCGCAGTATTACCTTGTAGAGTACAGACCAGATCTATCTGAGGCCAAGTCCCTTCTTCCAGAGAAGCTGGGTTCTGGGGACTCACATGCATGATGTTGGTGCTGTCATTGAAAATCTTCACATAGGGCTTCAGGATGTTGAAATGGAAGGCAGGGGTCAGCATACGACGGTGGCGGCTCCACTTGTCACCAGCACTCACCAAAAGCCCATCCCCTGGGAGGGCAGCATGGCAATGAGCAATTATGGCATGTCCCCCACCCACCTCCAAGGATGTCCCTAGGCCCTTCATCTACAGCTACTTACCCAGCCAGGGTTTCAGGAAGGTGTAGAAGATTACTTCCTTTGGGGCAACCGCAACTGACATAAAAAAGAATGATCAGGGGCCATGGAGAGGCTAAGACATGAACTTGCAGAGCGTGTGGGCACCTCACTGAGCTGTGTGCATGTTTGCCCCAAACCCAGCAGGTCAGAGTTAGAGAAATGGACATCGGAAACAGAGAAGAGAAGAAGAAAACAGGATACAAGGTGAGACAGCCTCAACTCACCTCAGGATCCCTTCACTTGGCTTCAACATAGTCTACCTTGTTTGCCCGTCAAGTGTAGCACAACAGTCTACAGACCTAACACAGCTGTCCATCACCGAGTGCTGTGACATCTCCTGACAGAGACATGTGTCATGGACATATATGGGGTAACATGGGCTAACATGGCCGACACACACATGACCTGCCCTAATGATCCTATCTACTGCTAAATGGACAGAAATGGTCTGATACATCTCAGTATGCCCCATAGGCAGTTCCCAGACAAGAGTTTAAAATAGTCACAATATTTTCACAGATATGGCATTGGTGTGGTGCATTCAGACATCAGACCTGCCTCAAACAAGAAATCTCAGTCATATTTCTATGCCAGTGGGACTCTAGGTAATAAATGCCAAATAACCTCCCAAACACTTGGTATTTTGGTATCCTTTGCTGAAGAAAGAGAGAAAGAAAATTTTAAACAACTTCTCAGGCAAGAAACAGATGTTCTGCAAGTGTCCACAGCTCTCTGTGAGCCCCAGATAGAGCCATAGTCATGATTACACTTGGTTGATACCTGGGACAATATAAAACACCCCAACCAGATCGTGTTTTGAAAGATTTAGTCCTCAGATGCTGCCTCTATTTTGGAAGATTCTAAAAGTTTTAGGAAGTGGAGATTAGCTGGAAAAAGGTCACTGAAGTAAACCCTTGGGAACATATTGAATTGAGTTCCCTCCTCTTCGCTTTCCTCCATCTATCTACCCATGATAATATGTCCATTTCTCTTTTATCATGATGGACTCTGAACCACAATCAAAACCAATCTTTGCTCATTTAAGTTGTAATAACAACAGCAACAAAAAGAGCTGCTACACCGGGTATAATCAGGAGACGGACACACCAGTCAAGCTTCATACTGAAATACCCATGAGGCAGTGGCAAGGGAATCACCAAAGTCCCTCTGCCTGCACCCCAGGAATGTGTAACTGCTGGAGGCAGCACAGAGACCTTAGCAATGGGCAAACAGGCTGGTTCAATGTTCACCTGGATCAGCAAACAGGAGCCCCTTTGAGGTTTGATGGAAGATGTGGATAACCACCTGCCAGGACTCCATTCACCAGTAGCATACACCCCCAGTGGTGCACACCTTGCCATGGGTGCCCAGGATACCTTCCTCTTAGGTCTGAATGGAGAAGAGAAGAAAGGGGTCCTACATTCTCTAGGCTTGCCAATAAAAGAATTACCAAGGCAGCGGGCCAGAGTGAGCCCCGAGAATCCTACCCAGCACTCTCACCCTCTGTGCTGAGCCTTGCTTGGGCTTCCTCCTAACAGCTTCAGTGAAAAGTAGAGAAATCCAAGAGAAAGAAGGACTGGGCTGCTTCAGGAATCTCACAGAAGCATGAATGTGGAGACTAGAAACCTTCCATTCCCCACAGCCACACCACTACCAGTTTTCCCCAAGTACCTGAGGCACTGAGGACAGATCGAATGATGTCAGGGTGGCACAGAGTGATGAGCGGGAGGATGGGACCCATCCATGTCCTGAAGCCCTGGGGATAGGTGGCCACCAGCTTAGTCACCTCCTTTAGACCCTGCTCGGTGGGTGGGACCTATAAGCAAGATAGGAGCAGTCACCTCCTGGGATGTTTGGTCGGGGTCAAGTGAATTATGCCTATGAGATGCTCAGAAAGCTGAAACCACATGACTTCCAGGTATCTCCATGATGGCGTTTCCAGAAGGCATGGGTGTTTTCATCAGTAGTCTCAGTCAGGATGACCCAGCTTCCACATGGTGGGCAGCACCATCCATTCCACTGAAGAACCTTCCTCATGCTGCAAGCCTCTCATACAGTTCTCATGTTGTGGTGTCCTCCAATCATAAAATTATTTTTATTGCTGTTATGATTTGTAATGTAAATATCTGATATGCAGGATGTCTAATCTGTGACCACCCCCCAAATGGTCTTGATCCTTCTGATTAAGAACCACTGGTATAGAGCAATAGATAGAGAAAGGGAAAATTCACTCCCATCTCCAGACTTGGGTACCCATCTTCTTCTGCCCCCAGACTTAAGAGTCCAGGTCCTTGACCTTTGCACTCTAACCCATTCCACAGGATCACTCCTCCCCTAAGAATCCCCGCACAAAGGATGTCAAACCTTTGGTATCAGATTGAATTAAATACAGCCTGACTTCCCAGTCCTCCACTTTGCCGATGGCACATTTTAGCATGCTCAGAATCCATAATTATATAAGCCAGTGACCATACCACAATGTACCCTCTCTCTGCCCTCATCCTCATGTGGATATATACGATACATTATTTAATGATATACATAATGTGTTGTATAGAGCTTATATATCTATTATGTATTTGTCTATATATCCAATTAAATATATATACTTATGTAAATATATGAATAAAATCATGTGCTGCATAATGATGTTCTTATCACTGACACACTGCATACGTGTGTGACTATGGTCCTATAAGATCATAATGACCTGAAGAATTCCCATGCATAGTATTTTGTACGGATGGATGTATGTCTTGAGCTTTGCTATTTGCAACGAAGCAGCTGAGACCAAGTCATCCAAAGGAGAGGATAGACTTGGTCAAAGTCCAAGGGGTGGGTCTCAAAGGAAGGTGTGTGAAAGGGCAAGTGGGTGACTCTTGTCCTGGTAGGGCAGCATGACTCATGGATTCATCTTAGGGGAGAACTGCAAGCTTTAAAAAAGAGGGGAGGGCCGGGCGGTGGTGGCACATGCCTTTAATCCCAGCACTTGGAAGGCAGAGGCAGGCGGATCTCTGTGAGTTAGAGGCCAGCCTGGTCTACAAGAGCTAGTTCCAGGACAGGAACTAAAAAACCTATGTAGAAACCCTGTCTCGAAAATTAAAAAAAAAAAAAGAGGTAAGGGGGGCTTCAGGAACAGGAGGCAGGAAGACAGCCCATAGCTCTTTTATTCTGTATGTGGTGGGAGAGTGATACCAAAGACCATTCCCAGAAAAACACTGAAAACTAGAGATGGACTGACAGAAAAAATGTCACTGACCTTGGACAGGGCTTCTCAGGAGGTCTCAAGTTCACCAGCAGACAATGGGGGAACACAGGGGTCCTCACTTGGTGTGACTCGCCCTGGAAACCCCTCAGTGTACACCAGTGTAAGAAAGACAGCAGAAATTAATCTAGAGCTAACTCAGGGTGGAAGACGGAATAAGCGAAAAGCTAGGGAAGGATATTGGAGGACTCGGGGCTACTGTTTCCCTCAGCCCCATTCCTAAGGCATTCACTCCTAAATAGGAGAGCCACAATCTGCTGCCACACTCACCATGCCCAGGTGACCCAAGAACCAATTCCGTTTTGGGGGCTGAGGGAAACCACGAAGATGACGATATGTGCCATAGTAGGTATAGATCTGAGCCAGGACACGGGCCAAGAGCCAGGAAGTTCCGATGAGCATCACAAGCAGCCATGGTGAGGCTGCCTCCAGGCTTGATCCCAGCCAGGACAGGTCCAACTGTGGCATCCTGTAAGGAGGATGGACAGAGAGATTCAGAGGCTCGGAAGCGGTATGGGGCCCTCAGGGATAGTGGACAGGGGTAGGGAGAGTGGGGGCTGTCGGTAGGAGGAGCGGTCCATGGGGAGGAGAGAGGCAGTAAGAAGAGGAGAGACAAGAGTTCCCAAATACCTGAATCATAGTGAGGCTGCCCGGGGCTGTTACCTGGAAGTGGACAGAGTCACTGTGGCTTTTGGGTCTCAGACAGCTGGCTAACTAGAGATAAATAGTCAGGCTCAGAGCTCTCTCTAACCCAGTACAGGACCCTACAACTCTACCTCCCTTGGCCTGGCACCTCCTCTCAGGAACAGCCTGTTTCCCAGACTTCTTCACCCTCCTCTAGAGCTAGTTTTATTCCTGGCTTCTGCCCTGGAGGAGGTGATGGGAGGCTGGGCTCAGCTGTGTCAGCCAATCCTTTACTGGCTCTTCTGCTTCCTCCCCTCCTGGGAAGATGGCCAAAATGAGGGGTGTTGGTCAGCATGCTACAGAGTGGAATCAATTCAGGTGCACACAGCATGGACACTGCCAGATCTTGGGACTTGGCCCTTTCTGACACAGTGGGGGCCAGGGGTGGTGAGATTTGGGGGTGAGCAAGGTTCTGAAGAGAGCAGAGGTGAGTCTGAGCCCCACATTTATAATTGCCCCTGCTCTTCCAAGAATCATTAACAGGAGTTCAGGAGCCAGGGCAATGGAGACAGGCCAGGCCACTCACAGACCATTTCCCAAGGTCTTCTGCACTGAGCTGCTCTGACAGCCGACACCGTTCATTTAAAAAAAAAAAAGAATACATACTATTTTTTAATTAATTTGTTGGGAATTTCATACATGCATAAATTGTATTTTGATCAGATTCAGCTGCTATTCTTCTACTTTATTCCTTGCAGATCAGCTCCCCACCCCTCCCTTCTTTTTTAAAAATAGATGTAAGGCCTACAGGGGGCAGAAGGCCTTCCAGGGCCCAGATCCCCTAAAGAAAACTGACTCTCCCTCCACCCACAGCTGTTAATAGCTCCTCACCTGGAGCTTCAAGACCCCATCCCCAGTACTGGAATGTTGGCTGCCTTGATCTTGAACAGGTCTTGTACAGGCAGCGGCAATTACTGTGTGTTCATGAGTTCAGAAGTTCTGTCATATCCAGAAGGTATTGTTGGCCCTATCCTCCCAGACTTCTGGCTCTTATGATCATCAGCTTCCAAAAGGATCCTTGATTCTAGCAGGTGTGGCTATGATAAAGGTGGCCATTTATTCTCTGCACTGTGACCAGCCATGAGTCGCTATAAGAATTGCTGTCCATGACACAAAGAAACTTCTCTGGTGAGCTCTTTCATGGCACAAAGCTGGGAGACTCCAGGATTTCCTCTGCCTACCAGGGACACAAGCAAAATTCAAATCCTACTCTGAAGCAGCTCAGAGTCCGGAGTAGGATCAAAGAATGCAGCCCTATGATTTCCCAGGTGAGATTCCTAGGATCAGTTGGAAGAACTGTGGAGGTCCACAGATGTGAGCCTGTTCTGCCTTGACTGAAGGTCAGAGAGTTTGAGCTTATTTTTACTCTTTCAAAGTTGTTGAAAACAGGTGTGGCTACAAACAAGATATCCTGACCTAGGGTGTAGTTACTTCCTGTTTTGAACGTTAAGATGGCCCATAGAAGTGGACCCACTCAACCCTGACCAGAAGTCAGAGAATTCAAGCCTATTCCTGAGCCTTCATTTTAAATAGGAGGTTTGACATAGGAAGTGGCAGCCTACAGGATACTTGGTTTAGGGTGCGCTCACTGCATATCCTGCCCAAAACATCAGAATGCTTTACTCAGGAAATAATGACTTGGTGTCTCAAGCACTGAAGCAAGGAACTTTGTATGCTGTTAAAGCAGTCTTTTGCCTTCTGCCCCCACTTTTGTTTTGGGGTATAGAAGCATATGAAAAATAAATGCAGGTGGGTTTAGTATTCAGGATTCACGGAGTTGCCCTCCTGGTACTATCCTATGTCTCATTCTTTTGTATCTCTGTTCCTCCTACCCAACATTTCTATCCATACACCCCTACCCTGGAGTGTACGTACCTGTCAGGCTGAACCCCAGCAGCTATCACCCCATAATGTAGCTTACAACAAAGAACAATGCTTAGGTTGATCTGGTGGTGAGGTCAAGAGGAACTCTGAGCAGATGGTAATCTTCTCTGTATCGTTCCAATTTTAGTATATGTGCTGCCGAAGCGAGCACAACTCTCTGAGCAGATGGATCTAAGCAGAGGAGACCATGGCACTGGTCAGAGGACAGCCTTGGGTGTCAGTTCTCACCTTTCTCCTTTTTTTAAAGGTCTCTTGTTGGTTTTGCAGCTCTGTACTCCAGGCTAAGTGACTCACTAGCTCCCAGGGATTCTCACATCTCTGCTTCCCTTTCTACAAGAGTACTAATGTTATAGATGTGTGCTACGGTGCCTGACTTTGTGTGGATTTTGGGGATTTGAACCCAGGTCTTTACATTTGCAAGCAAATGTAATACCCTCTAGGGTTGCAGGAACAAATTTTGTTTGTTTGTTTTTGGCTTGTTTGTTTGTATGGGTTTGTTGGTTTGCTTGCTAATTAAAGATTGAAAGGGCAGGGAAGAAGCATTCCTGGAGGTCATGGGGAGCTCCTGAAGAATCATCATATAATAACAGAAAAATTGCACTCCCATGGGGTTTTCAGTCATGGTAATAAAAGTGTGCTTGTTTGAGTGAAAAATATCTCTCATAGTCTCAAGCATTTGAATTTTTTATTTTTTGAGACAGGGTTTCTCCGTAGCTTTTGGTTCCTGTCCTGGAACTAGCTCTTGTAGACCAGGCTGGCCTCGAACTCACAGAGAGCCACCTGCCTCTGCCTCCCGAGTGCTGGGATTAAAGGCGTGCGCCACCACCGCCCGGCTGCATTTGAATATTTTATCCTCATTTGGTGACACTGTTCGGGGGAGGTTTAGGAAGTGTGGCCTTGCTGGAGGAAGGATGTCACTGTGGGATGGGCACTGAGAATTTAAGGCCTCACACTACTTGTAGTTGGCTTTCTCTGTTGTTTATGGCTCACGATGTGAGCTCTCAGTTTTCTGCTCCAGCTGCCGTTAAGGACTCTGTCTCTCTGGAACCACAATAAGCTCTTTCTTCTCTGAGTTGCCTTGGATAGGTTGCTATATCACAGCAACAGACATGTGACCGATAAATGACACCCATGGACAAATAACAGACTCAGGCAGGGGATTAAGGATAATTTATGAGAGTTTCAAAGGAAATCCCAGGCCCACTAGCTGCCAGTCTCAAGGCTGTGTGGAGAAGAATGGAAAAATCAGCTAGGCATGAAAGTCAGACACATGGCTGCAGGCGGTCACACAATGAAGAGGGGAACTTGAGAAAAGGAGTAAAGAAATCTGGAGAGTTAGGTGTTAAAAAAGGAATAGCCAGGCTCTCACCAGAATCCAAAAGAAGACATTACTGCCTCAGAAAGGTGGACAGAACCAGTGAACCACATGGAGGCTCCTGGGCATTGCACTAGGACCTGGGAGTTCTGGGAAGGAAAAGCACATTATCTTAAAGTGTGTCCACTTTCCTATGGCTGAGCCTCTAGCCAGATTCCTGCCCCCACCCAACTGGATTAACCTTTAAAGGAAGAGACACGGGTGTGTCTCCTCCTAGATGTAGACTGCATTCACCCGTGGAGCCATTTCCTCAGTCCCCTTTCTCATGTGAAGTATAGCTTGCACTTGAAACAACATTTACTATTCTGTACAACTATCATTTATATTCTAAAAAGGGAGCTGTTGCATGTCATGCTTGTCACACAACTGGACATTCACATGTGACTTCTGAGAACTGGACAGCATTGTGTGTGGGAACAGACTGCACGGCACCTCTCAGCATCAGCTGTGCTTGGGGCCACTTCACTTCATCTCTCTGTGCTGCAGTGTTTTCATATTCAGCAGAGGCGCCAGAGGGTTGGTGAGAATATTAAATACATAATATTGAGCAAAGAATTAAAGCAACACTCACCCCAGTGTACAGCCAGCACCAGGACTGGGTTTGTCATCGTTACTCCAGTGATAGAATGAGGACATGGCTACCCACTGGGGTCCTTGGGTCCCTTTCACACACCCATCAGGAAACTTGGTATCTGTAAATACCCGCTGAGCATTCTCTGACCTTAGCAGCCTTTTGCAAAAGCTGTGAACTCCTGGCTTGGGATCAGGTAACCTTATAAAAAGCTGGCTTCTGCCGGGCGGTGGTGGCGCACGCCTTTAATCCCAGCACTCGGGAGGCAGAGGCAGGCGGATCTCTGGGAGTTCGAGACCAGCCTGGTCTACAAGAGCTAGTTCCAGGACAGGCTCCAAAACCACAGAGAAACCCTGTCTCGAAAAAAACCAAAAAAAAAAAAAAAAAAAAGCTGGCTTCTGTCCCTCACCAGCTGTGTGACATCGAGCAAGTAAGCTGCCTTCTCTGATAATCACATTCCTAGGGGCATGAACATTGGCTCAAGAGTATAATTTGTCACTATATTTGTCCTACTTTAGGGTCCCCATAAGCAGACAATTTAAAAAACCTGAAGTTCAAATCCTGTCTTTGGGGGTGACCCTTAGGAAAGCTTTTAACTTCTCAGATGTAAAAGATAATCCCTGGACACCAGCAATGCAGTGAGGAAGTAGAATGGGAAGGGAGGCAAGAGTTAAACTGTGTGTTGGAGAAAGTTTGTACATTGGCCACCAAGGCTGAGATCTAGGGAGGGGCTCTGGGAGACAGCCAGCAGCATCAAGTACATACCTTAGAGTCATTCCCAGAGCTGGGATGTTGACTGACTCATGACCGTCCTTCAGGACTTAAACATAGCCAAGGTTGCTCCCAAGGATTGTTTGTCTGGGGTGTGCAGCCTGCACTGCAAAGGTCGAATCTAACAACAGGGCCGGCGGCTCTGGCAGAAGCTCCAGCAACTGCAACACCCTTCCACACAGACACACCCCACAAACACATACACACACAGACACACACACATACACAGACACACACACATACATACACATACAGACACACACATACACACACAGACACACATACACAGACACACACAAACATAGACACACACAGAGACATACACAGACACCTACACACAGACACACACAGACACAGACATACACAGACACAGACACACACAGACACCCCACACACACAGACACACAGACACAGACACACACATAGACACACATACACAGACACACACATATACACACACAGACACACTCACACACACACAAACAGACACACATAAAAACCTCTTCAGTACTTTACAATTTACCTCCACGTGTACA